TAATAAACTCAAAGTAAACATTGTGTCCTTTAGGGATATAAATTCCAAGAAAACTCTCTCTTTTAGCTGGGGGAAGTGACAGGTGAATTTCTGAGCTATAGTGAAGAAAAAAAAAAAGGGAGAATTACATTTAAAAACCAGCACCATAATAAATAAAAAAAACGGCATGGGGTCCCCCCTCCCATCCACACCAAGCCTTTCGGGTCTGGTATGTATCTTAAGGGGTAACTCCACACCAAAATGTAAAAAAAAACAGCATGGGGTCCCCCCTCCCATCCACACCAAGCCTTTCGGGTCTGGTATGGCATCTTAAGGGGGGGGGAACTCCACACCAAAATAAAAAAAAAATGGCACTCGGTGGTGTCTCCTGTGTGTGGAGTCCTCTGACAGCCCACTCACTCGGTCACGTCTCCTGTGTGTGGAGTCCTCTGACAGCCGGCACTCGGTCACGTCACGTCTCCTGTGTGTGGAGTCCTCTGACAGCCGGCACTTTGGTCGCATCTCCTGTGTTTAATAAACAGCACTCGGCATATCTTTATGTATTCTAATTAGATTTCCTTAGTTCTAGTGATTTTATTTTTTTTTTTATCTTTTATAATTATTTTATTTCTGTTATGATTTTACTTATTTTGAAGGTCTAGATAATATTTATTTTGACAGCTGAATGTAAAAATAAAGGTCTGCAATTAAAAAAAAAAAAAACTGCGTGGGGTCCCCCCTCCCATCCATACCAAGCCCTACGGGTCTGGCATGGATATTAAGGGGTAACTCCATGCCGAAATTAAAAAAAAAAACTGCATGTGGTCTCCCCCCAAAATCCATATCAGATCCTTATCTGAGCATGCAGCCTGGAAGGTCAGGAAAGGGGGGGATGAGCAAGCGCCACCCCTCCTGAACCATACCAGGCCACATGCCCTCAACATGAGGGGGTGCTTTGAGGCAGGGGGGCTCCCCCCCAAAAAAGCACCGTCCCCATGTTGATGGGGACAAGGGCCTCTTCTGTTAGTGGGATAATTGGTCAGCCATTTTTCGGAATTTTGGCACATTTTGTTTTATTGGTAAATTTGGAAAAAAATGGATGAAAATCGATTTTGCCGATCGGCCATGACCTTCGCGGCAAATTTACTGATAAAAAAAAGAGGCAAATTTCCATAAAAACGGCCGACCCAAATTACCCACTAATGGCCCGAAAATCGGCTGGTTTTTTTTTTTTGGCCAAAAAAAATCAGCCGATTTTAGACCCATCTAAAAAGGCTGTAGATGGTTCTAAAATCTGCCGAATTTTCAGCTGGGAAAAAAAAAAAAAAAAAAAAATCAGATTTTCGGGCCGTTTAGTGGGTTAATTGGTCGGCCATTTTTCAGGATTTTGGCACATTTTTTTATTGGGAAATTTGGAAAAAAAATTGGCCGATTTTCACAGGAATTATCGTCAAATTGGCCGATCTTTTTAAGTGATAAAAAAAAAATCTGCGAATGAGCCGTGACCGTGACTGCAAGAAAAAGAAAAAGAACAAAAAGAATAAAAAAAAAAAAAAGAAAAATGCAGGCCATAGACAGGATGAAAAAAATTGACCATTTATTTTTACCATTGGTGGTAACGTCGGATGGGAGGGGGGGACCTCACGCAGTTTTTTTTTTTAATATTTATTTAATTGACGGAAATTATTTAAAATTCAGCTGTCAGTGGGGAACCCCGCTTACAGCTGAAACATTAATACAGGCCATAGATGGGTCGAAAACTGGTTGTTTAAAAAAAAAATGAAAAATGAAAAAAACGGTCGTTCAATCGGCCGACGTTACTACCGACGGAAAAAAAAAAAAAACAAATCCCGATTTTCGTCCCGTCTATGGCCGGCAAATATAATAGCGAAGTAATTACTTCTGTCCCTGCAGAGAGCTGCGCTATTATATTTGACATTAAAAAGTATAGAGATTGCAACATTGTATCTATATGTATCAGAATGAAAACATCTGTATCCGAAATAAATACAACTAGATACAATGTTTCAATCTCTATACTTATTAATGTCAAATATAATAGCGCAGCTCTCTGCAGGGACAGAAGGAATGTTTCATCTGTCATCGGGGTTCCCCACTGACAGCTGAATTTTAAATAATTTCTGTCAAAATAAATAAAAAAAACTGTTGGGTCCCCCCTCCCATCCATTCCAAGCCCTTCGGGTCTGGTATGGATATTAAGGGGTAACTCCACGCCAAAATTTAAAAACAAAAACAGCGTGGAGTCCCCCCTAAAATCCATACCAGACCGTTATCCAAGCATGCAGCCCGGATACAATGTCCCCCAAAGTAGATCCAACATCAATCACGGCGACCCGAAAAAAAAAAAAAAGCTTCGCTCTTGACAGAGGCTAGCTGCCTTATGCAGTGAGTCTCTCTCTGACAGTTCTTAAATAGGTAAGGGGCGGGGCCATCCGGGGGACATCAAGCATGTGATATGGGGCGGGGTCACTCGGATGATGTCCCCGGCTGGCCCCGCCCCTTACCTATTAGAACTGTCAGAGATTCACTGCATAAGGCAGCTAGCCTCTGTCTAGAGCGCAGCTTTTTTTTTTCTTTTTTTTCGGGTCACCGTGATTGACGTTGGATCTACTTCGGGGGACATTGTCAAAGACCAAAGACCCTGTACTGTTTTTTTTTTTTACACTACACTTTTGCTTTTTTTTTGAATGAGTAGCGGGACCATGAACCGCATACTCATTCACGTAGGGGGGGGGGCGTGATCTGGGGGCCCCCTTGTTAAAGGGGGCTTCCAGATTCTGATAAGCCCCCCGCCCGCAGACCCCCACAACCACCGCCAGGGTTGTGAGGAAGAGGCCCTTGTCCCCATCAACATGGGGATGAGGTGCTTTGGGGGGGAGCCCCCTGCCCCAAAGCACCCCCCCATGTTGAGGGCATGAGGCCTGGTATGGTTCAGGAGGGGGGGGGCGCTCGCTCATCCCCCCCCCCTTTCCTGACCTGCCGGGCTGCATGCTCGGATAAGGGTCTGGTATGGATTTTGGGGGACCCCACGCTGTTTTTTTTTTAATTTCAGCATGGAGTTACCCCTTAATATCCATACCAGACCTGAAGGGCTTGGTATGGATGGGAGGGGGGACCCAACGCAGTTTTTTTTTTTTTTTGCAGACCTTTATTTTTACATTCAGCTGTCAAAATAAATATTATCTAGACCTTCAAAATAAGTAAAATCATAACAGAAATAATTATAAAGGATAAGAAACAAAAATAAAATCACTAGAACTAAGGAAATCAAATTAGATTACATGAAGATATGCCGAGTGCTGTTTATTAAACACAGGAGATGCGACCGAGTGCCGGCTGTCAGAGGACTCCACACACAGGAGACGTGACCGAGTGCCGGCTGTCAGAGGACTCCACACACAGGAGACGTGACCGAGTGCCGGCTGTCAGAGGACTCCACACACAGGAGACGTGACCGAGTGCCGGCTGTCAGAGGACTCCACACACAGGAGACGTGACCGAGTGCCGGCTGTCAGAGGACTCCACACACAGGAGACGTGACCGAGTGCCGGCTGTCAGAGGAATCCACACACAGGAGACGTGACCGAGTGCCGGCTGTCAGAGGACTCCACACACAGGAGACGCCACCGAGTGCCGGCTGTCAGAGGACTCCACACACAGGAGACGTGACCGAGTGCCGGCTGTCAGAGGACTCCACACACAGGAGACGTGACCGAGTGCCGGCTGTCAGAGGACTCCACACACAGGAGACGTGACCGAGTGCCGGCTGTCAGAGGACTCCACACACAGGAGACGTGACCGAGTGCCGGCTGTCAGAGGACTCCACAGTGCCGGCTGTCAGGCTGTCAGGAGAATCCACACACAGGAGACGTGACCGAGTGCCGGCTGTCAGAGGACTCCACACACAGGAGACGTGACCGAGTGCCGGCTGTCAGAGGACTCCACACACAGGAGACGTGACCGAGTGCCGGCTGTCAGAGGACTCCACACACAGGAGACACGACCGAGTGCCGGCTGTCAGAGGACTCCACACACAGGAGACGCGACCGAGTGCCGGCTGTCAGAGGACTCCACACACAGGAGACGTGACCGAGTGCCGGCTGTCAGAGGACTCCACACACAGGAGACGCGACCGAGTGCCGGCTGTCAGAGGACTCCACACAGAGATTTACTATTGAGCCGAGTGCCGGCTGTCAGAGGACTCCACACAGAGATTTACTAAATGTGGCTAAAAAGCAAGCGCCCACAGAGGACGGCTAAAATGTGTTCTGCACATCAGTTTATATCAGCCAGATAAACTGCACGGGCGTCTAGTTTTTCACTGTGTCGACTTGCTTAAAAAAAACTTTTTTAACACATTTTAAATTTTTTTGGAAATAGCAGATATTGTTTAAAGTGAAGTCCTGATATTTGGCAAAGCAAATTTCAAAGTGAACATGTCTCTGCTGTGATTTTTCATGGTGTTAGACGTGCTTCTTACCAAGTCTGCTTTGTGTGAGTGGGGTAAAAGTAGGCGGTCGCTAGTAAAAAATAGATGCTCACCCACGGAAATGCGCCCAGGCACAATAGTAAATCAGGGCCTATGTGTGATGGCGGAGCAAACGCATTTTATATTTATTTCCACTCATTTTATAAACATAGACCTCTATGAATTTGTGAAAGATTACACCGAAAAATGGCCAACCAGGTCCCACACTTCATCCATGTCTTTGGGGACCTCTGATCTCCTTATCAACTGTTTCTTCCATGATGAAGATCAGCCATGGAATATATCTGAGGTGTATATCAGGGGGTGCTTCTTCCCCACGAGAGCTGGGATGTCCGGCAACATTCATCTAGAAGACATTTCCCACACTCAAGGCACGAATACACCTCCAGGGTTGTGTGGGATCCCTGATGTACAAGAAGACAGGACTTAAGTGAGGACCATTTCCCTCACCCAGGACAGAAACGTGGCTTCTCCCCCGTGTGAGATCTCTGATGTCTGTAAAGACTGGACTTCAATGAAAAACATTTCCCACACTCATGACAAGAATACGGATTTTTTTCCCCCTGTGAAACCTTTGATGTTTGACAAGTCCTGAATTATGTACATAACATTTACCACACTCAGAACAGGAATATGGCTTCTCCCCCGTGTGAGATCTCCGATGGCTGTAAAGGTTGGACTTCGCTGAAAAACATTTCCCACACTCAGGACAGCAATGAGGTTTCTCCCCCGTGTGAGATCTCTGATGGGTAAGAAGATTTGATTTATGTAAAAAACATTTCCCACACTCAGAACAGGAAAGGGGCTTCTCCACTATGTGAGATCTTTGATGTCTGTAAAGAATGGACTTGTGTGAAAAACATTTCCCACACTCAGGACAGGAATACGGCTTCTCCCCCGAATGAGAGCTCTGATGTTTGGAAAGACTGGACTTCAGGGAAAAATATTTCCCACACTCAGGACAGGAATAAGGCTTTTCCCCAGTGTGAAACCTTTGATGTCTGACAAGTCCTGATTTATATAAAAAACATTTCCCACACTCAGGACAGGAATAAGGCTTTTCCCCCGTGTGTAATCTCTGATGTCTGTAAAGATGGGACTTCACTGAAAAACATTTCCCGCACTCAGGACAGGAATATGGCTTTTCCCCTGTGTGAGATCTCTGATGTGTAACAAGATCTGATTTTTTTACAAAACATTTCCCGCACTCAGGACAGGAATATGGCTTCTCAGCTGTGTGAGATCTTTTATGCACATTAAGTTTGTATTTTGAATGGAACCTCTTCCTGCACTCAGTACAGGAGAAGCTCTTCCCTGTTGGAAGGCCGGCCCGATTCCGCACAGTCTGAGGTTCCTCAGGATACGAGGAATCCGATGGTCCATCTACACTGGGTGGTGCCGGATGGACATTGGAGGGAGCCGGGTTTTCTCCTGGACTATACTGTGTGATGTCCTTATCTTCTACTTTCCGGTCTGGAGACAAAGTGAGACAATCCTCGGAGGTTTCCTCATCTCCAGGCCATGGACTAAAATACAAAGACAAAGAGGATTACTAGAATGGAGATGATTGGTTCCCCCAAACCAGGACTCCGCCCACATCAGGCAGCTTGGGCTCTAAGGAGCTTACAATTCCACCCTCAAGGCAACTAGGAAATGGCTCCTCTGATCTCCTACCAGGTCATTTCTTTAATCATGGACCTTAGTCAGAGAGCGAGGAAAACAACCAGAACTGTCTTTTTAGGAGGAACAGTGATGAGGGGATTATAGGACGAGGGTCCCCACCCCCTCTATCACTCATCGCCATCTTCCCAACACAAGAAGTACTGCACTTCCTTATTTAGTCCATGATTTAGTCATGAAGAACAGTGGGGCTGAGCCCCACCAGAGGTCAGAGAGTGAGGATGGGGGGAGAACAACCAAGATGAAGACTGGACTGATCCTGAAGACCACCATCATTGGGGTATTGACTCCTCCCTCATTATCACTTTCTGTTTAAGGGTCCAAAGTTGGAGAATGTCATCACATTATTACATTACCCGGGAATACAGAGGACGGGGACATCTCTCTGGTGGGTTCCCATGACTGGATCCATCTGTAGGAAACACACACACTGACTGAATCCATTGTTTCTATGTGTTTATCAGATGATGGGGGATCTAGGTGGATCCTCCGTACTGCTCTCTCCTTTACAATAAAGTCTCCTCTTACCCGGTGATGTGAGGGGGGGCGACTGATTGTCCATCATGACGTCCTTGTAGAGATCCTTGTGTCCTTCTAAATACTCCCACTCCTCCATGGAGAAATAGACAGTGACATCCTGACACCTTATAGGAACCTGACACACACAATGATACAGTCACCATCCAGACACATCCCTTGTCTGTTACTGGAGAATGTCCCAGAATTCCCGGCACCGCTCACCTCTCCTGTCAGCAGCTCCATCATCTTCTTGGTGACTTCTAGAATCTTCTGCATGTTGTGTCTCTCGGGGTTTAGGGAGTCACATGGAGGCACTGTGATGGTCATATGATCACCTGACTTCAGAAGAGGAAATCTCTGTATTGGGGAACCAATAGGAATATCATGCTAGAATCCTCCTCACCTCTCCGGTCAGGTCTGTGTGTTATTAATAGAGATCAGAGTGATGTCATGTGACCTCCCAGAATCCTCCTCACCTCTCCGGTCAGGTCTGTGTTTTATTTATAGAGATGAGAGTGATGTCATGTGACCTCCCAGAATCCTCCTCACCTCTCTGGTCAGGTCTGTGTTTTATTAAGAAATGAGAGTGATGTCAGGTGACCTCCCAGAATCCTCCTCACCTCTCTGGTCAGGTCTGTGTTTTATTAAGAGATGAGAGTTATGTCAGGTGACCTCCCAGAATCCTCCTCACCTCTCCGATCAGGTTTGTGTTTTATTTATAGAGATAAGAGTGATGTCATGTGACCTCCCAGAATCCTCCTCACCTCTCCGGTCAGGTCTGTGTTTTATTTATAGAGATAAGAGTGATGTCATGTGACCTCCCAGAATCCTCCTCACCTCTCCGGTCAGGTCTGTGTTTTATTTATAGAGATAAGAGTGATGTCATGTGACCTCCCAGAATCCTCCTCACCTCTCCGGTCAGCAGGTAGATGATCTCCAGGGTGAGGTTCAGTATCTTCTCAGTCATGTGACTCTGGTCCTCCTCCATCCTCATTGGTGGGGTCATGTGGTTTTCTCTGTAGATGGATAGCGGTGAATTATCTGGACTGTATTGGTTGTATAATATTAGGGTGGGGATATAAGGGGGTAATAGACGGGCTGCTCTCAGTGGGAGATGGAACATGTAGATCAGGTTACTTAGTGTTTGTTGTGTTTCCTGCAGGTCTGTAATATCAGGAAAATCCTTGTTTTCTTGTCCTTTGACTGGAGACAGATATGTGTATATGAAGCTCCAACAGGCTAAATACAGAGTCAGAAGCTGCAGACATCACAGGGGGTCCCTATACCCGGTGGGGGGTCTGAGAGCAGCCATGATGTCAGTACATTGGAGCTGGTGATAGTGAGAGGTATTGAGGAGCCAAATGTAGCCGGTTCAGTCTAGTTTGTAAATAGAGCGGCCTGGGATACATGGTAATAGGGAACTTCCACAACAAAAACAAGACTGTGTGGGGTCCTCCTTACAAATCCATAGCAGACCCTTATCCTGGATGGGAGTCTGGTATAGATATAAATGGGGGAAGCCCACACAATAAAGAAGGCTGGGGGTCCTCCCCAGAGCACACACCCCCTCCCCTAAACCATGCCAGCCATGTGCCCTCAATATGGGGAGCGTATCTTGTAAAGGACCTCTTCCCCACAACCCTGACCCAGGGAGGTCTCCTGATGGGGGACATATTGGAATCTGGAATCCCCCCATCAAATAAGAGACCTCTCAGCTACCTCCCCCACATGAATGTGTAAGGGTACGTATACCCCGGGGGGCTCATTCAGAAAGAAATAATGTAAATAAAGACGTTACCCACATCACATGACTCGTCCTTTATTAATAAACAAAGATTTCCCCAAAGTAATCCCTCATCACTCATCCAACAATGCAGATCTACATCATTAATAATGAACGATGCCCAATGAGAAAACACATGCTGACCGCCAACACCATCTGTTTCCAGAGACTACTCACCATGGATGACAACTCACAGAGACTATGGAGGAAGAGGACACATGACATGACGGGGGGGGGTTACTGGGTGTAAATAGAACATCTAACATCTCATTACCTCCTCTGCTGCCACTTTCACCAATGTTTCCGCTATACTTTGTACCTGACATCATCACTTCCTGTCTGTACCACTTCCTGTCTGACATCACTTCCTGTCTTCCATAGAGTCTTCCTGTTTGTGTATAAGCAAGAACATCACCTTGTGGAGCTCAGAGGAACTGCAGCCCAGAGAAATGTCTCCCTGAACATGGTCTTGTGCTATGAGTTCAGCTTTTTGAATGTTTTCTTGTAACATTTGTCCATTAATTATTCTTTGTGGGGAAGTTACAGACCTGGTTTATCCAATCTAATCCATATGATGGCAATCAGCCTATAAAATCCTCCATAACTAAGCAGCAATGTCCCGAGGATTACATCTTTCTTAAGAATAACTAAAAACTATTCAGATTATTTTTCTGCCACGGGCCATAGTTGGACCTGGAGGTGACTTGCCACATGAAGGATTCTCATCAGCTGCACTCTGTAATTAGCTCCTTCTTGATATTTCACTCTGCTGATGATGAAATAACTCCATACAAATGATCTCCACCTGAAAAACCAAACTCCTGAAATATGTTTCACCCCAATGGGCTCACTCACATAGAGTAGGGTTGGGGATACTCTATCCTTGTGAATGAGCCCATTGGGGTGACACAGAATAAAATATGAAGAATGGGCTGATTACGGAGTGTGACTCTTCATCTTCTTGTAGACGGTATAGTCACAGATGAGAACACAGGAGACCAAGTCCATATCTCATGCTTCCTAATCTATAGAGATAAGTATGGGGGCTCTAACCCTATCCAATCACCTCTGGGGGGTGTTCCCTCCTCAGCCCTGGGGTTGGCTCTGTCTTCTGAAGGTGCCATGGGCTATATGGACCCACTGTTTCTGGTGTCTGGGTTAGCAATGTGATTTCCAACACCAGTGCTTCAGTCTGATCACAACATATTCATTCACAGCATGGCTGTCATGAGCAGACCCCATAGAACCATGTTGAGGGCCCCTCTGGGATTCTGTACTCCCGACACATACCATTTTATATAAGAAGGACAATCCTTTGCAGCCACTGGGGAGCCCAATGTGCACAAATGTATTCCCCCCCACTGAGGTCATAGTCAACACATCAAAATATTTCCTTTGAGGCTCAGCGAGGTGACAGATCATTCATCCGTATCTATGTCTACAGGGATGTCAGATCATTATTGCCATCTAGGTGTTCATTCCTCCAATCTTCACACTCCAGAGCTGACTATTCAGATTTTTCTATTGTGACCATTTGTATTCTACTGACCACTAAATGAAGAGAACACTGTATCTGTAATACTGAACATTGAATTCCAGGAATATCTGTCATATCATGCCACCTTTACAGGGTATGTTACATCCCAACCATTGTTGGTGTCCTCCATGTCTATGGTCACCTTACAGAGAGTATCTGAGCTATGTTCCTGAAGGTCCTGCCAACATTCCATACCAGACACTTATCTGAGCATGCTGGCCAGGCTAGGAAAGGGGAGGGGGGGTGTAAGTCCTCCCTCTTGGACCATACCAGGTGACATGCCCTCTAAATGGGGGGGATTTACCAGGGGGGGAAAAGGACAAGGGTCTCTTCCTCTTACATATACCTCTATTCACTCACAAAAAGGTAAATTGTAAAGACAAAGAATTATCAGAAATATCCTATGCTGTACATCAATGTCAATCAGGAAGTCTGATGCCCACCAAAATAAAAAAATCTGATCTAATATGGGGATCAGGAGCCATTTCTCAACTGGGGTTCCTGGTATCATTATTATTATTATACAGGATTTATGGCACCAACAGTTTGCTCAGCGCTTTACAATATAACGGGAGACAATATAGCAACAATACAGTTCAATACAAGAGGGATTTGAGGGCCCTGCTCCTTGGAGCTTACAATCTAGGAGGGAGGGGCAAGTGGTAAAAAAGGTAGTAGCTCTGGGGGATGGACTGGTTGGAAGAGTAGAATATTCCAGTATTAGCTGAGGGCAGGATAGCCTTCCCTGAAGAGAGAGGTTTTCAGAGATCACATAAAAGTGTGCAGAGTAGGCGATAGTCTGATAAATTGGGGTAGAGAGAACCAGATAATGGGGGAAGCTCTGGAGAAGTCCTGAGATGAGCATGGGAGGAGGAGACAAGGGAGCTAGAGAGCAGGAGGTCTTGCAAGGAGCGGAGAGTACGGTTTGGGTGATATTTGGAGACAAGACTGGTGATGTAATTTGGGACAGAGTTATAAATGGCTTTATACATATTATTATTGTTTTGTTTTGAATTATCCGTTGGGCAACGGGAAGCCAGTGGAGGGATTGGCAGAGAGGGGTGGCAGATACAGAACAGTTAGTAAGGTGGATGATTCTGGCAGCAGCATTCATGATAGACTGAAGAGGGGATAGCCTGCGATGAGGTCGGCCAATGAGGAGGGAGTTACAATAGTCAAGGCGAGATATAACAAGGGAGTGAATAAGTTGCTTAGTGGTTTCCGAGGTTAGGAACGGCGTATCTTGGAGATGTTGCGGAGGTGAAGTCTACAAGATTTGGACAGCGATTGGATCTGAGGCTGAAAGGACAGATGGGAGTCTAGGATTACACCTAGTACCCTGGCATGAGGGGAGGGAATGATGGTTGTATTATTGATCTTGATGGAGAAGTCAGGGGAGGGGGCACGGGCTGGGGGGGGATACTAAGAGCTCAGTTTTGGAAAGATTGAGTTTGAGGAAGTGGAGTTACATCCATGCCGATATGTCACTTAGTAGGTTATTAATAATGCGAGAGGAGACTGAAGCGGTGAGGTAAGGAGTAGAAAGATAGATTTGTGTGTCATCAGCATAGAGATGGTACCTAAAGCCATGGGAGTTTATCAAGTGACCAAGGGAGGAGGTGTAGATGGAGAAGAGAAGGGGTCCAAGGAAAGAACCTTGAGGGACCCCCACAGAATGAGGGAGTGAAAAGGAGGAGGCAGCATTATAGGTAATGCTGAAGGAGTGCTGCGATAGGTAGGAGGAGAACAAGGAGAGAGCAGAGTCTCTGAGGCCAAGAGAGTGGAGTTTTTTTGAGGAGGAGGGGGGATGGTCAACCGTATCAAAAGCCACAGAGAGGTCAGGTAGTAAGAGTACAGAGTAGTGTCCATTGGTTGGGATGAGTATGGAGTAGTGGCCATTGGTTGGGATGAGTAGCAGTTAGTAGATCATTAGTGAGTTTTGAGTAGGGCGGTGTCAGTGGAGTGTAGTGAGCGAAAGCCAGACTGTAAAGGGTGAAGAACGTTGTTGTCGGTGAGGTGGGAGCTCAGGCGATAGACTAAGCATTCTAGGAGTTTAGAGGTGAATGGCAGCATTAGGAGATGGGTCTTAAGTATTGTTCAGGTTAATGGGGTCCAGGGAGGGCTTGTTGGGAAGTATGGAGTGATGTGCGCATTGCTTTAGAGGGGGAGGGAAGGCACCGTTAGAGAGGGAGATATTGAAAATGTGAGTGTGGGAGCATAGGATGGAAGAAGAGGGACCGTAGTAGTTGTTGGGAGGGGTACAGGATCCAGGGGGCAGGTGGTGAGACGGGCTTCTGAGAAAACCTTAGTTGGGACCTCTTCAGTAGTAGCGAGTAGTCATTGGTTGGGCTGAAAGTGTGACCATTGGGAGGGATTAGTATAAGAGTATGGCCATAAGTGGGATGGATGTCTGTGCAGTGGTGATGCCATTGGTTGGGATCAATCTTAGTGGTTTTTGAAATGATTTGCAATCTCGTGAGCAGTGAGTGAGCATGAAGGGGGGAATTGTATGTGAAGAAAGCAGATTTATATCGGGTTGGGATGCTTGCTGAGATTTGGTTTTACGCCACAATCGCTCCAGCGGTTGGGATGACTATGTAGTATTTAAGATATCTGGTGTGGTCAGTAGTGCCATTGGTTGTAATGGTCGGGGCCTATGCTTCATGTTGTTGGGAGAGGAGCAAGTGAGTGGCTATTGCGGATGAAAATGAACTGTTGTAGACATAGTGGCCAGGTTGGGCAGGACAGGGGAGAGATTCTGTCATAGGTTGGGATCAGTACAGAGTGGAGGGCCATTGGTTGGATGGTTTGGAGTAGGGCCATTGGTTGGGATGAGTACGGATAGTGGCCATTGAAGATGGGAGACTGTGAAGTATGAGATTGTGATCAGAGAGAGGAAAGGGGGTGTTTTTTGGTTGGGAGTGCAAAGATACGGAGAAAAACAAGGTTGGTTGTATTCCCATCAGAGTGAGTGGAGGACGGTATACATTGTGTTGGGAAAGATGAGGTTAGGTTGAAGAGTTGGGATGTAGCCGGGTTGTTGGGATTAATAGGGATGTTAAAATTGGTTGAGATGATAGCGGAGTAGTTCAATTGGCCAGGGAGAAAGAGATTGGTTGGGATGAGTAAGTAGTAGGGTAGGGATAGTCGGCGGAGAAAATATTAAAAAAAGCGGGGCCACACGGAGTCCGGAGTAGGCCGATAGATCACAGCAATCCTCAGTAGAAATTAGGAGAAAACAGCAGGGAGTGCAGTGAGTCAAAAAGAGAAGGATAGAGAGTGAGGGTTAGGGAGGACTGAGGTGGGAGCTCAGGGGATTGTAGACTAAGTGTTCCCCACCACCTTTCTGACCACTGGCAGTCTGGGTGAGTGGGTCCAGAGGAGGCCTCATAGGAAAGTGCTGCAGGGTCCAGAATTTGCTGCTTGGAGTATGGGTTTCTGTAATTGCTAGTAGGTTTAAGGGGAGCGGGAGACAAAAAGGTCATGGACAGAGGGAGATTACAGACAGAGCGGGCATTCCAGAGCGCACATGAAAAGAGGGTGGGTGGTTTTTGGGAGCACGGGGGACCGATATTAAATTGAGGAGATTGCGGCTTTTCCCGGAAGAAAGAGGGTGCCTGGTGTGGGGGTGAGTAGTGAGAAAACCTGGAGGACCTCTTCAGGGTTTGGGGAATATCCCCAGAGGCTTAGTATAAGGTAGGAGTGGGATGGATGTGGGGGCAGTGGATAGAGATGGAGGACCAGGGTTTGGGGTTTTTGAGGTTAGATGAGAAGGAGGGTGCCTGGTGTGGGGGTGAGATAGTGGAGGA